GGGTAAATTTCTATACTATTGCACCTTGAGTTGAAATTAACGACAGTCCAGCTCTCGCAGTGTTTAACGTACTATAAGACGCTCCATCATTAAACATGTTACTATGGAACTCCAGTAAGGTATTAACGGATACATGGAAAGGGTTCTACGTTTACCTTGTACAAAAACCCCACCATCTTAATGCTTAATGCCACATGGTGGAATCGGATAAAGTCGCCAATAACATGTTTAATGTTGAGCCCGAAAGATTCTTTACGGCATACGCTTCCCTGATAATCGCCCTGCAATTAGAATAAGGTCCTCTGCAAGACGATGTCGTATGTTCCTGCAAGGAGATCATGGCAAATTACCAGACGGTTCAAAGATAATGGATTCTTGTATTAATAAACCGATACAACGAAATATCGAAGGATCCTCAGTATTACAATCACTTTTAACGACAATTTATTTTAATCTTACAAAATACATTTTATAGTTAACAAATGCATCAAATTCATGTCTTGGGCTTTGAGATAATGCTCTTGGTTTTTTCCCAACGATCTTGGTGCATAAATAACGATTTTGACATGTTTTGATCAAAATCCATGTGGTCCATAAAAATAGATCAAATTCATGTTTAGATCATTGAGATAATGCTCTTGATCTTTTTCCCAACGCTCTTGGTGCAAAAATAACGATTTTGACATGTTTTGATCAAAATCCACGTTTTCGCCAAAAATGCATCAAATTCATGTCTTGGGCATTGAGATAATGCGCCTAGTCTTTTCCCAACGATCTTGGTGCATAAATAATGATTTTGACATGTTTTGATCAAAATCCACGTGGTCGCCAAAAATGCATAAAATTCATGTCTTGGGCATTGAGATAATGCGCGTTGTCTTTTTCCCAACGATCTTGGTGCATAATTAACGATTTTGACATATTTTGATCAAAATCCATGTGGCCTCAGAAAAATAATTTAACATTTTTGAATCACACACATGCGGTTATCAAACGTGCACGTTATCAACTCTTTCAGCATCAAGATAATGCGTTTGAAAGCTTTTACAACTCTAAATTCATGTGTAAAGAATAATTTTGGGTACATTTTGCTCTAAAACTTTTGACCGAGACCACAGAGAAGAGTTATATTGAATTGTTACACATCTAAGAGTCATAGGGAATAATCTAGCGAAAGTCCGAACTCGATACATGACCTAGGGAATGAAATATGTTAATTTTTATTATATTGAGTTCGCAGTTTTTCCTGTTCCCGATTCACTCGAAGTCGTATAACTTTTGTTCCTGTTGAACCAGCTTCCTGAAAATCAATAGCGTCCGTTCTTAATGTCCAACGTACCCGTATACCAAATTTCAACACAATCGGCCACTTTTAAAAAGAGTTAGAGCGCACACGGACGGACGGACGGACGACAATACAAAACTATAAAGGATCTGAGGATCCTTAATAATGATCGAAACAGTGGAAACCAAACCTGTGTGGCCCAAAATTTACAAAATTACTAAAATACCCTCTGCTTTGTCGGCAATAATTTTCTTTTTGACTCTTAAAATTAAGGAAAATGGTGGAAATGCACAAAAGTGAAAACTATCAAAAGAAGTTGTGAAAGCGTACACCGAATAGGAATCAGGATCTTTTTTGAAGGAGTAAAATAATTTACATTTCTTATTTATTCTGGATGCGATAAATCGAAATGAGGTTGTCCTAAAATTTTCTTGAAGGCAAATTCTGTCAATTCCCATTCTGTGTCGATATTATTGAGACATGATTCTGTATCTGCTTCTTCATAAGCTTCTGATGGGATATGTGTGAAAAATCCAGATTCATCTTTCTTCGCTTCGATGTTTTAAATTTTTATCTACTCCGAGAAATAAAGGCCCCACGAGCTGTAGACATGGAAAAATGTGCTTCCGTTAGCAGTTTTTCGGCACTGTCAAGTGTCTCCAGTACATAGGTACGATTTTTGAATCTCAAACCGTCAAATGGTCACCCCTTTTCTTCGCTGCATCGCGCAAGTTGGCATGGATTTCAGGATTCAGAGTGGGGGTTCCCTTTACCTACCGGTATCCCGCTCATAAAGATGACGATAGGATATTGAGTTATCCACACTTTGATACTGTTTTATATCGTTGAAATGCAATTCCTTATTAAACTTATGGCCGTTTGCGCCTACAAATTTAAGCGGAACTTAGTTTAAGTTAGCTTAAAATCTATGTCAACCATTGTCTCAATAATCGTTGCCATGGATTTTAAGCTACACTTAAACTAAACTCCGCTTAAATTTGTCGGTGCAAACGGCCATTAGTGATATAAAAAAGCTTGAAAAGTTAAAAAAAATTGTCAATTTGTATTGTATGGCAAAAAAAACGTGTCCAACGCCTGCAACTTATACGAGCAGTGTGGTGGGAAGATAGAATTACTATTCCGTCCTTACAGAAATCAATACCAGTAACGGAAAGATGAGATTTAAGGTTTGCGGGCACTAGACCGGTCCGGCCGGCAACGGATCGCACCGCTACGGAACGCGTATTTTCGTTTCTACGCTCACTAGTCTGTATCTAAATCTCCAATCGCAACGACAATTTTGATGGAGATGGATGTGATAGTTGTTAGTTTGCTTTGCGAAGAAGAGGAACGCAATAAAGTGAATGCTAAGAAGCGAAAATGGGTTCATGAAATTTGCAAAAAAAAAAGAAAACAGAAAGTGAATTTGCAACATTATTTCCCGATTTAATATCTCATCGGGAGAAATTTTTTCAATATTTCAGAATGACATGAAACATTTCAAGAATTGTTATTTGTTGTTAAAGACTATTGTAACCAGGCAAAATACCACTTTTAGGAGCAGTATCTATTTATTAAGAAATAAAGAAATTAACATTTTATTCTATTGAATGAAAATACTCATATTAGAAAGCTTCGAACAAAAATTATAACTTTGGCAAAGGCGTATGCCGTGAAAATATTTTCTATTCTACAGGATGTTCCAGAAAGGCGGTATTGAAGAAGGTGATATTTTTTCAGTATTTTGATATTTCAGTAGGTGATATATTTTCGAGATAGAGATAGCCGGCATCCGTCGTAAGACACCCTGTGTATTACTACTGTATATATTTATAAATTTTCTGTTTGTTTTTACTACTTTCAAGTATTTTTAGTCAACGTAATATTTATTGTACGAGGCATGTTCAATAAATACACGTTCGAACGCTGTAGCACGAATGTTAGTTTTGCTATAACCGCAGAAAGTTACATAAGACGGTCGTCGGTAATGTAGGTGTCTACTGTGACAGTTTGCTCTTGATATTCGTAGAATACGCAGTTGTTGTGCGCGTTTCAGTATGGCAGGTCATATCGTTGGAGCGTCCAAGATCGATCACCGTGGACCATGAATTTAAAGACACTCATGTTAATCTAATCAATGCTGTCCGATACAGTGAAACTTTGACTCGCTTGCGTACAGCCATAAGAATAAACGTCTTGGGAAGCTTACTGAAGGCGTGATTCTCTTTCACGATAACGCCCGTCCGCATATCGCTAACATTATCACGTCACAGATAGCGCGATTGGGGTAGGAGGTATTAGAACACCCCCGTTACAGCTCGGTTCTATCACCCTATGACTTCCATGTCTTCGGACTCTTAAAGAAGGCACTCAAGGGACAGCGATTCCATTTGTACGCTGAAGTCGAGCAGGCAGTTTTCACATGGTTCTGTCAACAGCCACAGGATGGTATGCCACCGGTAACCACCGCGTTTTGTAAAGCAGTGGGATGCCTGGTTATGTAGTAATGGCAATTTTGTTTAGCTTAAATGACCCGCTTATATGTAACACCGCTCGAACGTGTATTTATTGAACCTGCCTCGTACTTTGGGCCTAATTAATAAATGTTAAATGCCAGTTAAATAACCTGAACTTAACTACCTTGGTACCTACCACAACGTAGACTAGGGTAATGAAATCAAACAAACTTTACTAAGTAGTTTTATTTATTGATTTACATTGAACAAAGAGTAATTACAATTGCAAATAATCAGAAATATTGTAATCAACACTCTCTTCACTAAATACATAGCCAGCCGTGGGGGTGGCTCGAGCTGAGCTGGACATGGACGAAGTCGAGCATATTGAGGACGATTCTCATTCTGGGCGAAGTAGTTGGAGAACAACTGTGATATTTGACCTCTCAGATACACCGAGCTACTGAACGGCATACTGTCAAGAACAGGAGCAAAAGAAAGAAGAAACGCTTTGTGGCCATTTTTATCTCAATTTTTTTCATTTTTTGCCATTCTAAGCTTGAAGCTAGTATGTTAGTCAAATCTTTTGATGAAGACAAAATATTTTTCTCAAAAGCAACCCTTTTGCCAGTGGGTAGATGTCAGATTCTTCAGTTTCGGGCCTTTGGGTTTTGTTGCAGCTTGGTTCAGTAAAGAAGTTGAGGGAGGGGGGAACTTACATTGGTGGTACCATCGGCTAGTATTTCTTCATGTGCTGCGAGTGCTTGGAGATGCTGACGGAGTGCGGGAGTTGAATATTCGTTAGAAATACAAATAACCAGGTAAAAATCAGCTTATGAAAATTAACTAATTAGAAAAACTGAGCGATACTTTCTCATTTACTTTCATTAGTCTTCCTCCTCAAGGTTTTTCCAGAATTGCAATCTATCTAAACAATAGTTTTAAGGTTTTTAAGAAGAGTTTCTTTTTTATTTTTAGAGATTCCAGACGGACATGTGAAGACCTTGGGTACATGTACATGTAGGTAATATATTGTTTTTTACAGCTTTGTTTGTTTAAATATGTGGGTGGCACCAATGGTAAGCATTTCATATACAGATGCCTCGAAAAAGTATTTTCAAACTATTTAGGGCAATTCTGCTCGTTAAAGGGCAAGAAGGGAAATTTAAAGATAGAAAACATGAAACTTGTTGAATTATTGAAAGGTACCTAATCAAAGTTGTGCAATAGGTACATCATCTCATTTTTTTATGGTTACAAAAGCAGTTCGATGCTTACACCCCACTTTATCCGAAAAACATTTTGAGGAACATACGATGTCATGGCTAAAGCAGTGTAAACAAAGATATAAAAGAGAAGAAGCAAGAAAGAACATTTAAACAAAACATTGTCGTATAAGTATTTATCTTTTGTGTGTTAGGAATATTAAGTTTGGAGATTAAGTTTATGTTGAATTGATGTTTTTTCATTTTTGTTTGTTTTAAATAAATTTGATTTATATATAATTTTATTTTCACGTGACGGCAACATTGGTGTAATAACGTCATTGATTCGTTTAATGGCGACATCCCTCCAACTTGTAGCGTAGCCCTAGCCAGATATTCAAAGTCTGACCTTGTGGTAACGTTGAATTTGAAGTTATAAGTTCGTGAGTAGTACTTTCATTTAACGTCCTAGTTTTGGCGGTACAACGTTAAGAAACGCTGTATAAAGTTACACCAACGTTTGGTAAACATCCCCACAGTCTCACAATAATTTCAAAGTTTAACCTATTTTTTACAACGTATTTAAGACGGACATAGAAAGAACATTGTTGTTATGTATATGCTACATCCTTAGTCCTTGAGATATAACGTTACAAATTACAATGCTCTTTAAGAAGTTATAATAACGTTATGGATACGTTTTTATGCTCAGTGGGAAGGTGGTCTTAAAAATGTTTCCTTTGCATTCCTTTTTTCTTGTTTTCTATCCTTTTTACCAAACTATCTTCAATCTTTCGCCGTTTCCTTTTTTCACCTTTCTTTGTGTATCCTTTGCAACCTAGGCAATGAAAACTAGAATTAGATTTTAATATCTTGTAGTTTTTTAAATGACATACCTTCAACACCAAAGATTCTACCGCTTGATCATGTTGAAGTTCTGGTTCTTGAGCTGGTTTATCATTTAGTTGTTGTGGGTTCCGAATTATATTTTCTTGTATATTATTATTGTCTACGTTAATTGTGTCATCTTCTGAAATAAAAAAATATATTTTTATATGCTTCGTTATTGTAAAAATATACCTCCAATGTTTATGGACTCAAATGCTAAGGATGTTAAGTCATTATTTGAAATGGAATTGATTTTTGAAGTTTCTGGATCAATAAATGTTAATTCAACTGTTGCCCTGGAAAGACTTGTGGCTTGAGCGCAGCGGTTGAAAGTTATGCGTTCCCCTTCATAAATCCAGAAAACCAATCCTCTCCTGCCATGGCATTTTGTCTCCATGTATCAGGCATGTTTAGCGAATATTTCACGGCCAACTGAAAAGCTAATTTCCGAATTTCTTTGGGTGGTAATCCGTAGAATATATGGGCTGCTTTGATTGTATAGCTGACAATGATTTTTTCCTGGTTTGCGTCAAATACTCGCCTCACACAACGATAACCCATAGTGACAGGAACAGCGGATTCTTGCTCAATTGCTTGCTTTTTCTTCTTAATAAAAAATCTACTGAAAGACACGTAATGTAGTTCATATTTAGTTGCTGCAGACCTTATCGATGCATTATTTTCAGTAACCTCTTTGTAGGCGTCTTCATACGCCAAAGTGGATTTTAACCTCTCTCAGTTTTTCTCACTCTTACTCGTGGCATCCTAAAACAAAAGTAAACACCTTAACATACCCTAACACAACCTACAATATGAACAACATGAAAAATTCACGATGGGGACAATTGAAACATGTTTCAATCGTCCCCCATGTCATGTGTTTCAACTGTCCCCGCAGCACATTTTTAAGTAAGTAGGTAAGTAAGTTAAGTAACTCAAATATTTTCTTACTCTTGGATTAGAGTAATAATTTAAACTATCCCAACTAAAGGACATATACTAAACAAACTAATAAATATAGTCGAAGCTGGATACTTACGTTTCTATCTCTTGTGACACACTTTTTCAATCAATGTAAAAGTTTACTTCGATAGCGGGAAATCAAGTTATCGTGGACGTGCACATACACTCACAACTGCCGTCAGTGGCCGACTGATGGCTACGTACTGCACCTAATGGCGCTTCTTTTGGTACAAGCGCGCGTGATTTAAACCGCGAAATCCGTCTACTATGGCGGTTGTTTCTACTGTCCCCGGTCTACCCTAATGAAAATTCGCAATATTGTGAAGTTGTTTTCATGTACCATAGGAAGTTGCTTATCCCGCTTTGTCTGAAATGTGTAGACACCTAATTGAATCAGTAACCCAATGTGTCAAATGCTTGCAATGTGGAATCTCCTTTGTGTAAGATGCTATCGAAGCTTACGTAGAAATCCGTTAAAGACGTCAAGTTACTTCCAACAACAATAACAAATGAGACCAGTGCTCCTTTAGTTTAATTGTTCTTTGTTCGACATATAGTTCGATGTTTTTGTTTTTTTCGTATGTCTGCAGTATGAGTTTACCCGGAGAGCTTTTAGATAAGAATTCCAATAAATTAAAGTAATATGTTGGAGAACATGCTTTTTCTAATTGTTGTGGCCCATAAGAAGGGTTTTTGGGTCACGACTGCCACATAGTATGTATTCTGGATTGCATTCATATTAACATGCTATTTTAACCTTCTAATGTAGGTAATTGTACTATTACAGGTGGACGTAGTCGTGGATTCCTCCGCATCAGACACATTTGTTTTTGTAGTATTTAAAACAATTGATGTGCTTGGCATATGCGCACTTCAAGAATTATTTGTATTGCGGGTTCAAACAATTAATAACCTTTATTAGCAAATAATTTTACAACAAGCGTCTAACGAGGAACAAAACTAACCGACTTAGATCTAATAGGAACCACCATTAAAACATCCGTGTGCCGTGAGGGTAACATTCCTGATACCCCACAGCGCACCCCATACTCATAATGGGTAGCACATTATGACCTTTAATTTGGCAGTTATAGTTATTAGCGATCCATCAATGTTACATAGAGACAACGGCACTGGAGTCAGAGGATAGTTTAGAACGACCTGAAGGTCTACCTTCTTTTCTCTCCAGATTTTCTGTTTCTCAGTGTGAAAAGAATTCAAGAAATACCGACAATCTTATCGCGAAATAAACAATTTATTATTTTCCCTAATTTAATTCGTTTGGTCACTCGAAGCGGTGCGTAAATCTATAGCTATCTCTGTTCGATATGCTCTCGCGCGCTTATGTCTCACACGCTGGGATTTACTATACCTCAATTTTTTAACTTCTAAAGGCTGGTTTATAATTGGCCTAACCGTATTCTATAACCGTAACCGTAAAAATTCAAACATTACAAATCAATGTATCTGTTCACAATGCTAGGGAATAATCTCTTAACTTATTCCATAACCGTAAAATATGGTGATATTTTATAAATTAGGGAATAAAGAATACAAACAGCCAATAGGAACGCTTCCTGATCACGTGTGTGCTGTCGCAAAGCAACGCTAACTTCGTTTCAAAACTAAATCATCATAACCCAACTTTAACTTTCTATCGTTCATCTTGCTTTGTTTTTTGTTGGTTGATTATTTATTTTGTGTTAAATGGATAACGACATTAAATTATGTCAACTTGTTGAAAAATTTAATCATTTATATGATAAAACAAATAAAAATTACAAGGACAAAGTCGCTAATGAAAACTCGTGGACTTTCATTAGTCAAGAAATAGGGATACCAGGTATTTTTTCAAATTATTATATTTACTGATAAAATATTTATATTATACCTCATATTTGTAGTGGAAGAATGTTGTGCTCGCTGGTCAGCCTTAAGGTAAACCTTCTCAAGAATACGCACTTAGTGGAAAATTCACTCTAAGTACCTCATTATTTGTTTTCTCTGCCGTTTTTTTCCTTTTGGTTTCAGATTAGTCTGTTACTAAACATTTTTCAACACCTCTAGGATAAAAAAACATTACATAACGGAAGTATAATTGATTTTCGGGAAGTCAACCTCTGCGCACTCTTGGGAACCTAGGTGCACAAGAGTGCGCACGAATATGCCTGGAGTACGCACTCTCGTGTCCTATATTTATTGGAGAACATTTTTTAAATCAAATCATATAGGCATATTTTAATATCGAATTCAAGTCCAAAAATAACCTTAGGTAGCTTATTTGGGACTGTCGATAGGCCGGTCTCGTCCATATTGTAAATTAAATTTGGTGCGTAGGATCTAAGCTCATATAAAGATTTTAAGTTGGAAAAAAACCGTTGGACTTGAACTCTATTGAAGGCCATAATCCGTCCAATTGAACATGCTACCGGCTTGCGTAGAACAATATTGTGACGCTGACAAAAGCCACGCACCCATTTGTCGCCAGCAAGCAAGTGTCTTGCTCGGCTTGCAAATTTTGTGCAGCCTCTAATAAACTTGAAGCAATGTTTGCCTCTGTAAGATTGTTCTTCTTTAGTGCTTGCTTTAGCCTTTCGTTCGCTTCATTTAATAATTTTGTTGCTGCCTCCCTTTTAGAACTGCTTTGAGTTTGGACCGATTTTAAATTTTTTTCTAACTCGACAACTTTTATCTGTTCATTCAATTTTTCCTTTAACTCAATTTCTTGTTTTTTTGCGTTTTTTTCTTCCTCTACTTTCGTTTCCATTTCTTTTTGTTCTCTTCTTCTTTTTTCTTCCAAATATGCTTCATAGGCCGAGTGAGCATTCTTAGCCAAACATAATAATTCATTTGTGACCTCTATATTATCAATTTTATTATAATACATAGTTTTAATTGTGTCATTAATAAACAACAATGAATTTAATGTTAATTCACTAAGATTGTTTCGCTCGTTGGTTACAATGTGTCCAGATAACGAAAATCCTCTTTCCACATCGGCATTGCCATGACTAACACAAAGGATTGTTTGGAGCACCCTTTTTAAATTAGGATATTTTATAATTCCATTAATTTGCAAATCAAATATAACCCTCCAAAAATGATCAATCCTCAAATCATTTGCAGCGCCAAGTTCTTCTAACTTTAGTAAATTCCATTCGTCTTGCAAGTTATTGAAATTGGTAAAATTTGGAATTTGTTTTGCTATGCTGATGATTTCAAAAGTAGAAAAATGTTTAAAATTACGAGGGTCGATACATTTCACCCATCTTAATAAGTTTTGTTCAAAGAGAGGAATTTTCTTAAAGATATGCTTACAGGCTTCGACATAATGATTTCTTACTCTATTTGTAAAAATTAACCTTTCGGGTTCATTTACCTTACATTTATCAAATTGATTGGACACTTCAATACCAACAATTTCTTTATAATTCTCAATGGGTATGTAATTGTCTAACGTAAACACTTCATTGTAATTAAATTTATCACAATCTAATAATGTAATTATTTCAGGTCGACAAAAATGTATCATTAAGTTTTTAATCAGTTCAATAATATGGGAATGAAGTAAGTGAATTAAAGGTTGATTGCTTTGAAATAAAATATTAAATTTATTAAATATTTTGGCACTAGCATTAACGAAAATAAGTTCAGGAAAGGTTGTATTTTTTTTAATAATATCAATGATTGTTTTGTAAGTTCGTGTTTTTAGTACTTGTTTACAATTTTTGGGTATATATTTTAAAAAGTATTCTGTAATGGCTGGCCATAACTCTATGATTCTTTCAGCAGCCTTTTCCAATGTTAACCATCTAGATGGCACATGTTTTATTAAATGTTTTTTAGGAGTATTAGTGCTATTTTTACAATAATCGAAATCTGCTAAGCGGGAGGGTTTTTCTTTGAAAAAGTATTTTAAAGCAACTGACAAATCCGATATATTGCTACCAAATTCGTTTAACCCTTTTAAAAAGGCATTATTAATTACATGCAAATTACATGTACCTACATCCAATAATGACCCTTTACGCAATTTTTTTATATCCGCATTAATTGTGTTAAATACCTTCTTGTTTACATTAGGGCCATCGCTTCCTAACATAATTAATTTTTCCTGTTGTAGAGAGGACTTGGCAATTATTTCATATAAACTTTTTACGATATCTGTCGCTTTTGCATGTTGTAAGTACACAGTTTTCAAATGACGAGACACAACTTCATTTTTTTCTATTGACCAATAGAGAATTCGTACTTGCAGTTCCTTCTGGTTGGATTTATTTGTTGTTTCGTCGTAAAGAAGAGAATAATACCCTGAAATCCAATTAAATTAATGAAAATGTATTAGGTAATTTAAGAGTAAAAACGTACCTCCATTACCTAAGTCAGTACTTAGTATCTTGTAAAAATAAGGTGCTAATGCGTGTGATACATAGTAGGATACCTTCCGTGGCGATAACGTAAAATGGTCAATCCATCTACAATCGGGCATAGTTAACTTTATCACGTCTTTTAATCCCGATACTGATTCAAAACTTTGATTCTGCTGTATCAATCTAAGAGTCCATATTAGCTCTGCTTTTGTACATTCTCTTCGAGGATTGAATAGTATTGGTCCATTGTTAAATGCACTGGGATTAATTTTGTGTTGATTTGAATTTTTTATTTTATATTGTTGTTTATGGCTAACAGCCTGTGCATGCTGATTAATTGCAGTTTTTCCACGTTCAACACACACTTTTTT